CCCATAGTGAAACTGTTCTTTGCACTTGATAGAGCTGTAATTTTTGAAACTGGCCTTGCTTATAGATTCTCCAGTATAGCAGTTCTCTAGGTCAGGGGTAGGCAACCTGTCCCCTTTAAGGGCCGAGGGACTTCAGCTCCCAGAATCCCAGGAGCTATTGGCCAGCATGGGACTATTGGCCAACATGGCTGAGGCTTCTGGGAGCTGAGGTCCCTCGGCCCTTAAAGGGGAAAGGTTGCCTACCCCTGCTCTAGGTCTTTGCACTAGGCATTGTCCCATTTAAAAATGACCACCAACTGCATGTTCTGGGAGAGGAAGAATAAGTTTAACCATATTCATACATCTCTTGGTTTTAACAAGATTATTTTACTGTTATTTGGTGCTGCCTGCAAATGAAGTTCAAAAGTTTCAGTTTTTTCTTCAGTGTTTACCAAGATGCTTCCGGGCACAAGTGAAAGCTGTGTTTCTTAACTGTGCCATTAGAAATAGCTGGGGTCCAAAGTACCTAACCTGCTCCTAATTCAAGGGTGGGAGACCTTTGGACCTCCAGATGTTTTGGACTTTTTTGGCTCTCACAATTCCTTGCCACTCTGGTTGGGGATGATGAAAGCTGTAGGCCAAAACACCAAGAACGTCAGATGTTTTGTATTGTCCTCTCCACATCATGAGATCTAATGAAGAGTTTCCTCTCTGAAAGTTGACACTGGTATATGCTAGGTTAGCTGTCAAATGTGAGAGGAAATTTCTGGCTTCATCCCAGTTTTGAAATTATCCCCACAGAAGGCTTATTTCAGCTCCTCTCTCTTTTGGCCTTCTACCCCCAAAGGGGGGGGGACCTCAAGACAGCAAGAACAACGATAGCTACTACTACTACTACTGCTACTCAGTGAGCACTGACCAGATTCAGTAGCCAAAGAATGTATAGTGGTTCTTCTGTGACAGGAGAGAAGGCTGAGAGGGTGAAAATCTGGGTTCAAGAGGTAACTGAATGAAGTGTTCTAGAGGGGTTCATGTCTGGTTGCCTGGCTGGAACTCTGAACTGAGCAGCCCACACTGCAGCATTGTTGCAGTTTCCATATTTATAATACAGCAGCTATCCTGCCCCATGCACAGTTTTCAGGCCAGGAGGAAATTCAGCACAAAAAGAAAGGAAAGGGAGTTTACACAGGAGTTCAGGATGCAGGAGTATCAGAACAAAGAACCCTGAAAGCTGAGAGAAAATATGATCGGATACTTAACCAAGGAGACTCAGACAATGCTACAACCCCAATGGGGAAATAATCTGTGAGTTGATATAGATAAAGTAGTATATTCTGTAGTAGATACAGAGCAGTTCATATAATCTTGTTTACTGGGGAATCCTTTAAGAAGCCACTAGTGCTGGGGAGCACTTTGGATGTTTTCCAGATTCCAAAATGGAAGAAGACAGATTAACTGCCTTGGGCTGCAAAGGAAGTGGATGGACTGGTTGCTGAGTCTTTTCTGTGGAAGAGCTCATAAGGGATCTTTTGAGGTTCTGAATGAGGAAGCCGTCCTCTCTGCTTTTTATCTTGATTGTGGGATGTGTGACCATGGCAGAGCCCAGTAAAGTTACTTTTTCAGACTTCAGCTCCAAAAATCCCCCACAGGGGAGTTGTAATGCAAGTACTGTAGACTGAACTATAGATTAGGAGTTGTAATCTGGGAAAAAAAACTTTTCCAAACTTTGGACAGTGGAGCGTAGTATAGGAAACTTTAGGGAAGCTGAGACCCAATGGGTGTATTAGGTCTCAGCTTCCCAAGAGTTTTCTAATGTATTATGACAGTATACATACAGCTCAGTGAGTTTTTTACCTACTTCAAGAAAGAGCACACAGCCGACATTTGAAAACAGAGCCCTGATATACCTCAAAGTACAAACTCAGTTGTTCTGTCTTTAAATTACAGGTGAAAACTTTTATTTTACCATGGAAAAGATCACTTTGACATATTACCAACCTCTTGATGTCTTGATTCTGAAAGTGTTGAGGCCAATTATGGTGCATAATATTCAGTGGCAATCCCCTTGGTTCCAGGAGACTCAAGTAATTCTTTCCCAGCAAATTTTCTCATTGTTTATGCTAGTCTGCTTGGAGAATAACAAGTTTAATACTGTGAAACAAGGCCTAATGGAGGCACATGGTAAAAGGGCATTTCACCAGGGAGTGGGAAGGTTAAGCACTGCTTTGAGCATCACGTTTCCCTCTCTGGATTTTGAAAATACATTTGGGGGAAGAAAATACTTAGTAAGGCATACTTTTTTAGTAATACAGAAATGGGCAAATAAAATACATGCTGGCCATGTAAGTAAGTCCTGAGAGCTTTGCCTGTCTCATAGTAAGAGGGCATAATGTACATATCAGATCCATGTCCGGCTCTCTTAAGGGGGATGCAGACGGGCAACCATGGGCAGCCCCAGAAAACAGAGGATCAAGGCCGAGGCTGCCAGATGCGTTGGTCCTGATCCTCCCTTTCGCCACCTGGGAAAGGAGCACCAAAACACCGCTCCTTTCCCAGGAGGCAAAAGGGGTTCCCAAAGAGCCACCATGCGGCTCTTTTGCACCTCTTTCGGCGCAGCATGTAAAAACACTGCTCTGGGAGGACATTCTGACAGTGCGCACTGTGAGTAGTGGCACACACTGTGATGATGTCCTCAGGAAGGGGTTGGGGTGCCCAACGTGTGGCTGCCCCTCCCCTTCCCTGCCTCCAAGATGGCACTTTGCGCCGTCTGTAGAGGCCCTTGGTTCCTTTTTCCTTTGCTTAAAAGAAGTCAAGTGGCATCTCATTTGGATTGGAGGCAGGCTACTCTTCAGATAGAGTTCATCCATTCCTCCATGGCATTTCCCATACTTAAATCACTTAAAGATGTCATTAGCCTCAGAAGTGAGATATTAGCCTCAGAAGTGGAATATATTATCTGTTCTTTTTCTTCCACATCATCAAAAGATATACCAGTTCTAAGAATCCTTCTCCTACATGGCCAGAACTTGGGGAAATTATTTTGAATTACACCTCCTAGAATCCCCTAGACAATAATAGTCTGGGTGTTCTAGGAGTTGTAGTCCAAAAAGGTAACTTTACCATGTTCTGTACCTGACCTGTAGGCATTTGACCACAGTTCAGGAAAAGTTAATCTTCTCTCTGATGCCATGGCCTTGATTCAGCCTGGTTTTTCTTTTGAGCAAGAAAAACAACCAGTCACTTATATTACACCACATTTACGTAAATCATATTTACTTTGGCCCCTTTGACCCATGTTGACTGCTGACTTGGTCATGTTTTCAAAGCATAAGGAGGTACACATCCCACTGAAAGGGTACTTAACGCCATTCTCATACTTGCAAATGACCAGAATGTCAGCATTCCAGCATCCTGGACTTCATTTTTGGAATAAAAGGACTTGTTCTTTCCAGCAGCATGGGTTTCTTCCATCAAACTGTGGAGAAGGATCTGTACAGTCTAAAGGAAGAAAACCTATGCTGCCAGAAGGGACAAGTCCTTTTGGTCCAGAAATGAAATACAAGTTCAGAAGCATGTTTAGCTTAAGTAATATTGCAGTTTGACTGTGCTCCCACAGCAACTAAAAAGAAGCAAGTAATTTTAACTGTGGTTTTTTTCCCCCTGCTGTGGAAAAAGTCTGAAAACTGTGCAGCTTTTGAAGCCTTATTCATTATTAGGGACTTGCTCTGCACAAAATTTGAAAATGGGGAAATAATTGCTTCAAAAATAACACTTTCTGTATAGGAAGCAACATTTTCTGTGCAGAAAAATTGCAAAGGTTATCATCAGTTTCATCTCTCCAGGGTTTCCAGACAACTGAGAATTGTCTTTCAACCATTTTTAAAATATTTTTGAAATTTCCTTTCTATCCCGGGTAGTCTGTCATGTAATAGTTGTCTCTCCCACTAGCTCATGAATATAATTTCTGACAAAGACATATGTTTAATAAAGGCCTTTTTAAAAAATATGAATATGTTCACATTAAGTCTTTTTCACAATCTCTTGCACATGTTTTGAAATGGGTACCTTTTCTTTGTACACTTTCCAAATAGCTGTATTTTTTCATGATTGCATGCATGTGTGGATTCCAAGGCACAGGTTATGTCCATTCCAAGCCCATCAAATATTGGGCCGAAATAAAATTTTGCACACAACCTTCTAAACAACAACAACAAGCCACCCTGCCTAGTTAATTAGATGTCTTTGGTTATGCCAGGCAAGTGGTTATTTACAAGCTTGTGCTAATCCACCTGATCTAGCCAAGCAACTAACTCAAGACAAGCTCTGCCATGAGGCTTGCGCATCCTGGACATTCAGCTCTCTTGACATCTAAGAGGTACACTGTCTGCAATCATTTCTCTTTTTACAGAAATGTTGTTTTCTACTTTTGGAACCCAATCGTATCCCATATAATACTATTTTTCAAAGGCCCATGGTCACCCAACTGTAGCCATACACACACAAAAATCCCCCTCCCCAAAGTATATCCACAATGCCTTCTGTTGCAAGAGAAAAGGAATTGCTTCACAGTAAATTGCCAGACAGCTACAAAGATTAAAGTAGCAACATGACTTTAAGGTTCCAAATCTCTTTATCTCAGCTTTGCAGTTCTAGGAGCATTTAATGTGTGAGGATGCCTGCTGAGTCACGGAGGAACACAGAATGCCCTAAGTGCATATGCAGCCCTGGAGATGCAGTGACTTTCCAAGAGCTGACAGTGAATAAGGTGAAGTGGGGTGTTCTCCTTAGCTATTCGCATCCCAGGGATTCATCTTTTGGTATTTCATTCAAGTCTTTGCTCTATTCATTTTAATGAATATGTTGTGTCATTTCAACAAGGCAAACATCTTAAAGGTTGGAATCCAACACTACATCAATAGTAGTAGTGCTTGGTGCCTCCCTTGTCATTGGGACAATGAAAAGGTTTCAGGTCTTAATCCAGGCTTTTATTCCTTTTTTAAAAAGGTAGTCTCTTTTAAGGAGTTATTGTGGCGTGGTGGTTTGAGCATTGGATTATGACTCTGAAGACCAGGGTTCAAATCCCAGCTTAGCCATGTAAATCCACTGGGTGACCTTGGGTATACTCTCTCAGTCTCAGAGGATGGCAAAGGCAATGACAACTCCTATCTGAAGAATCTTGCCAAGAAACCCTGTAATAGGATCACTATAAATCAGAAATTATTTGAAAGCACACAACAACAACTACAACAACAACAGCAAGTCTCTTCTAAAGCCAAATACTGGAATGGACTCACTTTCCCACTGATCCCCCCGTCACTTGCCCATTCAACACTCTTCTCTAGAAGCCTTCCTCCCAACCTGCTGGAGTAGATATTGAGGATGTGTTGTTGCAAAGAATGGGAGATTCACTCTCCAGTCCAATGTATGCCACTGAAAGAAAATATTCAGTGAGTAGAGAGAACTATTTGGATTAAGTTCTTGCCTTTTTATGTCATTAAAGGCTAATTTAAACATAGCAAATCATCCTTTTTTCCAGGGCTGGCCCATCCTTTAATCAAAATGAGGCAGGCATCTTAAGAAGTACATTTGGGAAGCCATGGAAAGGTAGTGATTTCTTATTTTCTCACATATATATTTTCTCACATACATATGTCTGTGCCTGGTCTCCACTCCACCAAATGCATCAGAGGAAGTAGACTGAAGTCTATGAAAGCTCATGCTGCCAATTTATTTCTTTCAGTTAGTCTCAAAGGTTCTACAAGATCTATCTACATACTTATTTTCTTTGTTATTATTGTTTTTTAGTGCTGAAGTGAGCTGGTCATAGATTTTTCTGTTTTGTGTCCTGAAATAATGTGTCTGGCTTTGGATAGTATACACCTTGACTTGGGTGAATGAGAGGTGCTTTTTACTCTCCTGCCTCCAGCAGCAAAATATCTTGGGCCAGCCCACCCTGGTCTATCACTTTATCCAATGTGTCTGTTCTACCTGTGTGGCTCTACTTTCAGTCCAGAACTGACCACCGCAATATAGCTCTAGGCTGTTGCCTCTGTTGTTGTATGGGTTATCATTAGTTACAAATCAGAAGGGCTATAAGCATACAAACCATTCTGTCTTATATGATGTCAAAACATACTGATTGTTCCTATTTTTTTTTCTCTCCTACAAGACTAAAACTTAGAAATGTTACTTTTGGGGAGTTGCAACTAGTGCCTCTCTTGTCAAATGGTGGTGAATCTATTCCATGTTTTAGTCTAAACTTTAAAGAAAACATGAAATGTGCTATACTCAATCCACAAAATACCTTCAATATCTGGATAGGACCTTTAAAATTCCATCAGAAACTTAAGAGCAGATGCACTGTTCCGCTAGCATGGCAGCCAGCAGCTTATAATGGTTTTTTATCTTCTGTTCCCACAACCAAGCAGCCAGCATGTCCACTGGCCATGTTTGCTGTGGAGTTCTGGGGTTGTAGTACATTAAAAAATAACTTTTCCAAGCTCTGATCTAGATTGACACCTCTATTATTGTAGGAATGATCCCAGCTGGTGAACCACATGATGCTAATAGGAAATAGTGGAAGAACATTGGCCCCCTCCCTTTTTTTCTTTTATGATTCATAAAAGCAAGGCACATAATGAATAAATATGTACTTACAGAATTATTATTTTTGTAATTACAATGGATATTCCACTATGTTGCCCATGATAGCTATTTCTGGGATTGTCAAGTTGGGTGATATATCTTTTTTCCCCCTTCTTTTTACAGTATCAATCACTTTGTCCATTTCTGCAGTTTCAAATGCTTTCAACAAGTATACCATGAAGCAGAAATAATGAGACCAGTCTTCCATTTGTTCAGATCAAAAGAAGTATGAACATCTAAACCATCATGTACTTTCTATAGATTAAATTCCTGAAACTGGAGTTCTTTAAATACCCACTAGGCAATCCTAGAATTGGAAATGCTCTAGTAATACATATGTTTCCCCTCTTCATACAAGCTCTGAGAGATGTAGGAACCCTGTTTTCCTAAAGATGATCCAGAGTAACTTGCATACCTTAGAGATATCCTCTTTTAAAAATTCTGATAGATGTTGGCTGTGACCTTGGTGAATTTAGAATTAGCTCAAAAATAGTAGATAGGATCCAACCCATTGTATGCAAGGGACTAGAGGGAACAGTTCCTGCAGAGACATCATTTGTCCAAAAGAATGGTACTTTTATTAAGAGAGAAAAATAAATTAATAAGTAAACACATATATACATAGAGGATCAAACATACAAAAACAGCCTAACATACATGCACGCGCACAAGAACTCAGGAGTAACTTGGATAGGAAGCAGAAGGCTTTCTAAGGGTGATAGTTACCTGAAAGGAGGCTGCTCCAAGATGAATGAAGAGGGATCCATTATGTCAGGGCAAGGACAAAGAATAGAGCTGAGAACTCTAGTCAGAGACCACAATGGGACAATACCATCATGGAATCTACCCAGAGCTCCTGTGCCATCCTGAAATCTATCCAGAGCGCCCATGCCTGAGATTTTTGGGAAGCATTTATATTAGGGGTGGGCAACCTAAGGCCCGGGGGCCAGATGCGGCCCCCTGAGGC